TCAATAATCAGTGAGGGAACTCTGAGCTCTGTAAAGGAAGCAAACAAGTATCCCAACACTGGTTTCCCCAGCTCGTCGAACGTACACAAGAAATGTGCCCCTCTGTAAAATCGATGCCCAGAAGGGGAGGTTGGTATTTGAATCGCCGTGGATTACGTGTCCAGTGGCACATCGCCTTTTGACATACGATAGCTTCTGTGATTGTAAGAAGGTTCACATACACCACAGGGAGCGCAGGAACGATCCGAACAAACGGCAAAATACTAGAGTAAATTGAGTATAGGGTAAGACAAGAGTGACCAAGAGTTGATTACAGACTTGACGAGATGAGCGTTGTCGCACTTGAAGAAAAGGGGGAGACTTGTATCGTCGGGTCGTCCTCCGTGACCACACTCGTGGAGTGCACGTATGAGTCATATCAAGCCCAACGTCAACCCCGACGCCCTGACAGAGATCGTAGTCTAGAATTACCAGAGTCAGGGCGAGCGCTGCAAGCACGAGTAGGGCGAATCTTGCGCACTTGCTATGTTTCCCAACCGTTTCATCATACGCATCGCGAATCTTGGCCTACTATCATGCGTGTTCTTCGCTCGTCTAGTTCCTACTCCAAGATTTGGTTTCGGTGTGAGGGTGCTGTCGCTGTTACATTCTAGCTTCCCTGTGCTTCTTCATCTCGAACCGAATTAACTATGGCTGACGAGGAAGTTGCCGCTCTGGTCATTGATAACGGTAGTGGTATGTGCAAAGCCGGATTCGCTGGTGACGATGCTCCGCGCAGCGTCTTCCCTTCTATTGTCGGCCGACCCAAGATGTAAGTTACCTACTTTAGTGCGGTTTTACTTAACTTTTGCTCAGGCCTGGCATCATGGTGGGTATGGACCAGAAGGACTCTTATGTTGGTGATGAGGCTCAGTCCAAGCGTGGTATCTTGACCTTGAAGTACCCCATTGAGCATGGTATCGTCACCAACTGGGATGATATGGAGAAAATCTGGCATCACACTTTCTACAATGAACTGCGTGTCTCTCCCGAGGAACACCCAGTAAGTATTAGCTCTTTCGATTTTGCTTCAATTTGGACTTAGGTTCTACTCACTGAGGCTCCTCTCAACCCTAAGGCTAATCGCGAGCGCATGACTCAGCTCATGTTCGAGACCTTCAACGTGCCCGCCATGTATGTCCAGATCCAGGCCGTGCTGTCTCTATATGCCTCCGGTAGAACCACCGGTATCGTTATGGATTCCGGTGATGGTGTTAGTCACACTGTTCCCATCTATGAGGGTTACGCCCTTCCTCATGCTATCCAGAGGCTCGATCTGGCTGGTCGCGATCTGACCGAGTTCATGATGAAAATTTGACCGAACGAGGTTACACCT